CCACACCCACCCACCCCCCGCTTATTTGGCAATCACTGGTAAAATAAACATTCAGCTGAAGAAAGTGATTTGATAATATTTACCTTCTTTCTTGATTTTTCTATTGATTAATTTTTCTTAAATAAATGCATTAATATTTGATACAGGAAGAGAAGCCAGTGGACAGCTTCCTGTATCAATTGATCCCTGCATATTTAGTGCATGTTCTTAATTTGCACTTCTGTTGCTGCTTGTACCTTTCTTTCCCTTGCTGCTGAGTTCAGTGGGGAGGGACATGAGAACATAAGTGCCATCCTAGGTTAGACCAATGGTCCATCTGGCCTAGTATCCTGTCACCAACAATAGCATAAGTGGATGCTATACATACAGAGAGGACACAGAACCTGGTATCTTTAAAGTAATCTACCCTTATTCAATACTCTCCCTAGCATCCACCACCTATTGGGTTATTGCTGCCAGAGGGAACATTTCCAACCATTCTGTTCCACAGGGAGAAGGAGGGGAAAAGCAAACAGTGGCAGTGTTCACCCGCTAGACTCCAGAGCCTTGGAAAGCAAGGGGCTCCAGCCAGATCCTGACCAGATCAGCTGGTGAGCTCAGAGCTCACTGCTCATGCAGACTCAGGCAGAAGCCTGTGTGGACCAGAAAGTGAGCTCACACCTCACTGTACATGTGTAGATAAAGTAGGGGGCATCACTCCACCTTGCTCCTTTCTTAGATTCACTACTGCTTTGTTATCAGTTGCCCAATAACCATAGATTCATAAATTATAGAGTCGGAATGGACCCAATGGATCATCGTGTCTGACCCCCTGCCCCTGGCAGGAAAGAGGACCGAGGTCAGACGACGCCAGCCAGGTGATTGTCAAGCCTCCTCTTGAAGACCTCCAAGTTAGGTGACAGCACCACCTCTCTTGGAAGCCCATTCCAGACTCTGGCCACCCTTACTATAAAAAAATTCTTCCTAATGTCTAACCTAAATCTACTCTCCACTAGTTTGCACCCATTAGTCCTAGTTACTCCCTGAGGCGCTCTGGTAAACAGCACACCCCCAATTCCCTTCTGTCCTCCCCTGATAAATTTATAGGTGGCCACAAGTTCACCCCTCAGCGGTCTTTTTTATAGGCTGAAGTGATCCAGGTGTCTCAATCTCTCCTCGTAGGGTGTTTCATGGAGACTACTTATTATGTGGGTGGCCCTCCTCTGAACCCTTTCCATATCCTCCATGTCTCTCTTCAAGTGCGGTGCCCAAAACTGGACACAGTACTCCAACTGCAGCCTGACTAGTGCTGCATAGAGGGGGAGCATCACCTCCCTCAATCTGTTGGTCATGCATCTGCTAATACACAACAAGGTGTGATTGGCTTTGTTGATAGCCTTGTTGCACTGCCGACTCCTGTTCATCTTGGAGTCAACTATGACTCCAAGATCTCTCTCAGCCTCTGAGCTGCTGAGGAGGACACCCCCCAACCTGTAAGTGTGCTGGGGATTCCTCCTCCCTAGGTGGAGTGCCTTGCATTTATCTTTGTTGAATTGCATCCTATTACGTTCCACCCATTGATCTAACCTGTCCAGGTTGGCTTGTACCTGCTCCCTGCCCTCTGGTGTATTAACTTTGCCCCATAATTTGTTATCATCTGCGAACTTGGAGAGGGTGCTCAACACATCCTTGTCCAAATCGCTAATGAAGATATTAAATAATACAGGCCCAAGAACTGAACCCTGTGGGACCCCACTGACCACCTCCTTCCAGGTTGAAAATGACCCGTCCACCACCACTCTCTGGGTGCAGTCCCTAAGCCAGTTGACCACCCACCTGACTGTGAAGGCATCCACTCCACAGCCCGTAAGCTTCCCTATAAGAATAGGATGCAAAACTGTGCCGAAGGCCTTCCTAAAATCCAGGTAGATGACATCGGCCTCTGCTCCTGTGTCAAGGCAGTGTGTGACCTGGTCATAAAAGGCTATAAGGTTTGTCAGGCAGGATCTACCTGCGACGAACCCGTGCTGGTTTCCATTCAGCATCGTTTCCCCTGCTGGGCTTTCACAAATATGCTCTGATGATTTTTTCTAGTATTTTCCCAGGGATAGAGGTAAGACTGACTGGCCAAAAGTTACCCATCTCCTCCCTTCTCCCCTTCTTAAAAATGGGCACCACATTGGCCTTTTTCTGGTCTTCAAAGACCTGTCCGGAGCACCATGAGAGCTCAAACAGCCGTGCCAGCGGCTCAGCAATGACACTGGCCAATTTCTTCAGCACCCGTGGATGGAGGTCATCCAGGCTGGCTGACTTGTTCCCATCCAGTCCTTCCAAGTACTCTTTAACTAAGTCAGCACTAACCTTTGGCGGTCTGCTGCCTTTTGGACATCTGTCTATGTTCAAGGTGGAGGGATTGTCTTGGTCAGTATTAAGAAATACATTGAAGAGCTCTGCCTTTTTGTCTGCATCAACCACCAACTAACTTGATTTGTCCAGTATGGCTTCCTTTGTCTAGCATGACTTTTCTCTCGTTGTGGTTACCTCCTCTTCTTCCCCAGTATGGGTTCTGTGTATTTATTTTGCCTTTGTCCTCATGTTGATTTCTGAGGGGTTTTATGGAGGGATACAAAAGGCTGTTGCATACCATTCTATACAAGTTATATTTGGCCTTAAGGTAGCTATTGGATTATAAGACCCTGGGTGAATGGGAGGCTCACTCAGTTGCAAGTAACTGAATTCTCATTCCTATTCTGTTAGGTTTAACTGCAGTGGAAGAGCAAGGCCTGTCATGGTGTGCTTTCCTATGTCAGACTCCCAGTGGCCGTTCAGCCTCCAGTGCACTTGGTGAGGTGAGCCAGAAGATAGGCAGGTCTAGATACAAATCACAGGGGCCAGGGACAGACATTACACTTTTACTAGTATAACTGATCAGTTTATACCTGTAATAGAACAGAAGTTTAGCACACAAAGACTGGTTTAAAAATAGCAAAACCCAGTTTAAGATTTCCCTCCCACCCTACCAAAGCGGGAATATGTGTTCTGTTCTCTTATCTAAACAACACCACTTACAGAAAACTGTATAACTTAGATTGATTTTGCCTTGGACTTCTTGAATGTCTGTACTTAGCCTGGATGTCCCTGATTTCTATCCGGCTAGGCTGCTGGAGGCCTATGTATGGGACTGGGTAGGTGAGGCTTCTTGCTGTGTACCATCAGAAAGCAGCTTTAATTTGTGTTTTGGCACCTACTAGATAGTAACTGACCTGAGAGGCTCTCTGAATGCCATTGTCCCTCATTGAGTATCAGTCAGTCTAGTTCCCAATAGATTTTCAGTACATGGCCCGTGAATGGGTGAGCCATTCACTCAATTTCTGCAGTAGAAAAGCTGAGAGACCATAAAGGCTCCCTCTCTCCTTGCTGTAGAAAAAAACTACAAATTCCTGGTTTCTGTAGTGTGTGAACTTTATCAAACATTTAACATGATTTAAACAAACAATGAAGGAAACATGGAGCTGGGAGAGTAGAAAGGGGCAAGTGGAACATGAAAGGCTGAGAGTCTAAATGAAGATGCATGCACGCACAAAACTCCAGGCCTGAAAAATGATGAGAAAACTTCTGACCCAGAATGGAAATGTACCAAGACATAAACTATATAAAGGGCAAAAATCAAACAATAAATAAGGTATATACAAGGCACAGAAAGTAACAATAAATAAACTATGTACAACCTGAAATGAGAACCGATACATAAAGTATTTACAAGGAGAAGTCAAACATATGGACTAAGGTAAATGGTAAAACCAAAGCTACAAGTAAGTTAAGTGCCAAGGGAGAACTCAAAAAACAGGTAATACAAACAGGCCACAAAGAAACAACTCTCTGTGCATCCAAGCAAAACCTGAGCCAGCACACCAATGGACCTGAACTCACAAATTACAGTGCTCTGGAGGAAAAAGTACTGGGCAAGGATTTGCAGCAAGGGTGCAGGAACAAATAGGCAGAAGCAGAAACATCTCTCATGGCTTGACTAAATCACCTTCTGAAGTGACAAGTCCTCCTGGGAGAAGCCTTATTTTGCCTAATACACCCAGCAGGCTGCCACCCTCCCAGGAGTCCCCTCACTACCATGGCTAAAGCTTCTTTCTATGGCAACATCCAGCCAGGGTTGTACTGCAAGCACCACTGTAGGCTTGTGAAAGGATTCTCCCATCAGCAATCCCAACTCTTGAAGCAAGGCTGGGGGGGGTTCCCCTTTTCCATCCACTGAGATGGAGAAGGGAAGCTACTCTTCTTCTCCCCACACTTTATGCCCTAGAGGAGTGCCTTGCATTGAGTAGACTAGATGTTAGACTTTGAGGTACACTTGCTTTGCAGGGAAAAGAGCTGTTCTGGGCCATTGCCTGCCAAAGCTATGAGAGCTGCACAGAGGACTCCCAGGCATGAAGCACTGAGTTACAGGGGGCCAAGTGCCTCGGGTGAATATGGGGCTCCATAATGTTCATTTCAAAGAAGGTGGGGGGGAAAGAACACTGCTAGCCAGGAGCTGATCTGAGCAGCCCAAGACGCATGGAATAGACAGGTCTCAAAGCAGGGACCTCAGCAATGACAGGTCAGGAACACTGCCCTGGTAGTACCACCCTGGAATATGCCTTCTTCATTTTCCCCCTGCCTCAGCAGCCCCCTTTCACTTTGGCCATGACTAGAACAGGGCCTCAGGCTGCCAGGTTATGTCCCTTTAGGTCTGGCAGCTAAGGTTACTGAAGAGTCTTAGTTTGAAGCAAGGCTTAGGGTGGAGGAAAAAGAGAAGGATCCCCTGAGAGGAGGGCCAGTGTGGGGGAGGAGTGACACTCTAAGATGGAGCACTACTGCATGGCCAACCTCCAGGCTGGAAGAACTGGTAGCCTTTGGTCTTAAAGGATTCCTGGAGGAGAGGGATGCTATTTCTCTGGCAAAAGGGGACACTGAGCTTCTCGGGAAGAATCTGGGGGAGAGGAAGGTGCAAGCCTACATTTCCCAGGCTCTTCATCTGCCAGAGTCCAGAGAGGCAGCACTTTGTCCTCTCCTTGGCTGCTGGAATTCCCTCAATATTCCCTATGCACCCTCAACAACCTTGTCACACACATGCCACCTCCCATAGTACTGGGAGAAGTACTGGGGGGTGACAGCAGCCTTTGGAAGATCATATTCGATTCTTTCAAACCCCGTTGTGGCCTGCTGCTGCAGAGTTCTCGTGCAAATGACCTGGGGTGAGTGGCAGCTACACCACTGAATCTAAATGGTTTCCTATCTTTATAGTTCCCTCTTCCCCTAGTTCTTTCCCACTATTTTAAATGGTTTATTATGGGCTTAATTATTAAATAAAAGCAGCCATTTATATTCAGCAGGTTTTAATGAACATACCCTCTTACAACATGCATTAGAACAGTGATGGCCCTACCTCATTCCTGAGCCCCTTCTTCCTGCTCAAAGTAGTCTGCCAATGCCTCCCTGACAAGAGTCCCCTGTTGGCTGTAGTTTTCAAGAAGTACTGGCTCTGGCTGCTCATAACGCTGAGAAAGTCTCTCAGCCTCCATCACCCACCCAACCCCCAGAGTCTCACCCCTCGTCTCACAGATGTTGTGTAGGATGCAGCAGGCCACCACCATGCTGGAAAGGTAACGTTCAGACGCATCCAAACGGACATTGAGGGCTCTCCACCTGGCCCTGAGGCGTCCAAATGCATGTTCTACCATCAGCCAGCAGTTGCTTAGCCGATGATTGAAAAGTTCTTTCCGGGGGTCCAGGTACCCTATGAATGGCTTCATGAGCCATGGTAGGAGGGGGTAAGCTGGGCTACCAATAATCAGTGGGGGGATTGTCACTCCATTGATTTCTGTGCTGGAAGCATCCCCGGCAAAATCTCCCCTCCTCATCAGGGGGACAAGGCTAGAATTACGGAAGACCCTAGCATCATGCATTTTGCCAGACCATCCAGCAGTGATGTGTGTGAATCTCCCACAGTGATCCACAAGGCCCTGCAGCCCAATAGAAAAGAAGCCCTTTCTGTTCATATACTCTGAGCTACGGTGGGGAGGGCAAAGGATGGGGATGTGTATGCTGTTGATCACACCAATGCAATTTGGGAACCCCATGTGGGCAAATCCATTGATGACCTCCTGGGGATTGAAGAGCCCAAGGAAACGTGGGGCAAGCACCTTCCTGATTGCTGTGCACACCTCACGAATAGCTGATCCAGCAGTGGATTTGCCCACGCCAAACTGGTTGGCCACAGACCTTTGGCAGTTGGGGGTTGCCAGTTTCCAAATGGCAATTGCCACCCGCTTTTCAACACTCAAAGGGACTCGCATGTTGGTAGTTTGCCTCCTTAGCTCTGGAGTCAGCTCTGCACAGATCTCTAGGAATGTGGCCTTTGTCATCCTAAAGTTTTCACGCCACTGTTGATCACCCCATGTCTGTAGCACTATTCTCTCCCACCAGTCTACACTTTTCTCCTGTACCCAGAACCGACGGTCAACAGTCTGAAGACGTTCCCAAAGCAGGCCATCCTTGTTCGTGTCCTCAATATCATCTTCTTCTGGCAGGTCGCAGTCACCTGCTGACAGCATGCCATACAGTTCGAATGTTCTCCTTGTGAGAGCTTCAGACATTGCAGCCTCGCTTACATGGCTTTGGAAAAGCAAGTCACACAGCTGGGTGATCAGGCTGGTGAGAGTCATGAGGAGATTACGGACTCGTCGCCGTGAGTCCAAGTACATTATAAGGACCTGACGGCGTTGAGCATTCAGTGCCTGGAGGAGCTCTAGGTGGGAGGCATCCATGCTGTATCTTTGCACGGCATGGAAGATCTTCAGAACCGTTGGAGTGGTCTTCTGGCCTGACTAGTATCTAAAGGAATGACAGCCTGAGACTTCTGAGTACCTTGGGGCTAACTTCTCAGAGGATACCAAGGCACATCCTAGAAAGCACAGGAAAGCAGGGCCACAAGGGGAAATGGGATATATGACTCCTCACGGCCTAGCAGAGACAGAGCTTATTCACTGCTTCCCATGAGAGGACTAACCTGGCATACGAAGATGACAACTGAAAGTTTGTTAGTACCTATCATAGTTCAGTTTTACACTGGTATAACAAATTGCTTTAAAGTATACCGTTTCTGCCTTTGGCTGTCTTCTCCCCCTGAGTCAGACAAGAATCAGGATTTCAAGCGGACCATTCTCGTAGATTCGTCTTCTATGGACAGGGCACAGAAAGGGACACAATGAACATACTGACCTGTAGATTATGCAAACAAAATGTGTCTTTTGGTGAATTGCACCATAGTTTACAGATTATCATAGTTTTTAAATAAAAAAATATCTCTGAAGGATTTCATTTCATTGTCTGTATCACATGCAACTGTACCATTCCTACCTAGAATCACCAAGCAAATAAAAACCCCTTGGAATTTCAGTTCACTTGTTTAGGGACTTACGATTTAGGATTAACTGCTAGGGATTTAGTAAAAGGGCATCTTAGAGGGTGAAGGTTTTCAAAAAGGCACTTACTTATTCAGTAGTGTATTCAATTTACTAATCACCAGTGATCAAGAATGCTGGATGCTATCTTGATCACTGGAAAAATAGGGTAGTGAATGGTAGTTGGAGACCAGATAACTGGACTAGTCAAGTCACTTTGAAAAACTGAGTGGCACAATGGACAAATGTTGACCTTCTAGTATACCAACTGACAGCTAGGGTTGAGATTCATGGCCGTACTCCAGTGATTCTCAAACAGGGTACCATGTTACCTGTTGGGTGACTTGAGATCCTTTCAAGGGTGCTGATGGGTGACATGCAATATTAGCACTGGTAGGTGTGCAAACATGATTCACAAAATAAATCCAGAGATTTCAAATAGGAATCCATAGCGTTAAAAAAATTCTGACCCTCTGTGGTCTGAGTTCTCTGAAACAGAAGGATTGCTCTATTATTTTTCTGTAGTAAAAAAAGCTAGGGAAAACCAAGAACTGACAGTTTCTGAAGGGTGTCTTCAGCCTAATAAGGGGTGCCTTGAGTCTAAAAAGGTTGAGAACCATCGTCTTACTTATTAAATTCCAGAGGAATTTAGGAAGCAGTCCTGCCCCCCTAAGTGAATTGAAACTCTTGGTCTATTATTTTCCCAGGGTTAAGGGTATTTGGTAATGCAAGTCTTAAGGGAAGGTTCACCTTGGCATAACTATTTTCTAACATGTCTGAAGTGTTACAAAATATCCTATATGTACATGTTACACTAGGAGTCCGTGCAAGAGGAGCAATAATGTGGACAAAGGGCAGGCTCCAAACTGTTTTAACTACTGGCAAAAAGAACACTCGCCTCCCCCACCCCTCAAAAGAGAGACCTAGACAAACCAGAAATGTTGGCTCCCAAAATGTATATTTAGACTGGTGATATTTTCTGTGTTGATTTAAATTGCCATAAGCAGAAAAAAACAACAGCAAAACCGTTTAAAGTTTGTTTCATTGCATTAATTGATTGATGAATTGGAAAAAAACAGAGGTTTTGCAAGCTCCCGTTAATTAAATTTTTACTGCAATCTCAGCTACCTCTGGCTCAATTTCAGCCACATCTTAAGAAAAAAATACTTCAGGCACCTTCAGTTCCAGTTTTTTTAAAGGGCAAACAATGCATGACCTTCTTCTTACTGTACTTACTTTACATGAAGGCTTCCTGTATGCCTGCAGCGATTCTGGATTACCCAACATGATGAGTGACGACAGTGTTCCGTCAGTCACAGGACTAAACATTCTCCACTTCAATTACAAAAGGCATCAGGAAGTGAAGTATTTCTTGGGAGCCTGAAAGTAAGATGAAGTTGTTTTTTGATATGACACAGTCCACAAGAATTTAATACCACTCTTAACCAATATTTATGTAGGCAACAGAAAATCTTCTACATGAGAGAAAGAAAGTTGGCACCTACTACAAGCATATACAGCATAAGGAGCCACTGGATCTGAAGTTTGGTATATTAAGTCAGGCTACGGTAGGCACAATGATCAATTTAGACATACTCTGTACACATTCCTTCAAAGTGTGGAAGGGAAAATGGAAACAAGTTATACAGGTAACAGTTGTTCTACAGGAAGGAATCAATACAGTAAACAGTAAACATTACCAGCTGGAGTTACTACTTGTGCTGCCAGCGATTTTGTCTTTATTTAGCAGGTTCAAGGTCCCTTCTAATCAGTATTCTGATTCAAAATGTGTATGCTAGTATTTAGGGGCTTCTGGAAGAGTGAACTTAGGGATCTAGACTTTAAAGGAGTTGAAAAGATTGTTTTCAACTCAATATCATTGTTTGCTTTACTCGGGAAGGCTTGGCTTTCTTGTCATCATCGTCTTCTTCATTATTTTTATTTGTATATTTAGATTTATCTCCCAACCTCTAAAGCTACAGGTTTATTTTCACCACTATCTCTGTGTTTTGTGAATGGAGGAAAGGAAGAGCAGGTAGGAGAGATCTGTGCAAGTATGAACTCGCCTCACTCTTTTTCCAGCAATACCAGTTGGCTTAGAGTCATCACACTTAGACAGATCACAGAATCATAGGAATCAGAAAATTAGGGTTGGGAGGGACCTTGGGAGGTTATCTAGTTCAACCACTACTGAAAGCAGGACCATTCCCAACTATATCATCCCAGCCAAGTCTTTGTCTATCCAGGTCTTCAAAACCTTCAAGGATGGAGATTCCACAGCTTCCCTGGGTAACCTGGTTCCAGTGCTTTACTACCCTCCTAGGGAGAAAGTTTTTTTCCTGATATCTAAAACTAAACTTCCCTTGCTGCAACTTGGTGATAGCTCCACTGTTACTGAGCTGATTCTGTCCCACTTCCCTTCACAGCCTGCAACAGAAGGGTCCACACAGCTCATAGACCACACCAGCTTGAGCTAAGGGCCCCTTGCCATGCAGGTACTACCACCATTGCACCATGAAGTGGCACCCTGGTCACATCCTCAGCTGCCCAGCTGCAGGCTCTCCTGCTGTTCTGAGGGCTGTGCCACAAAGTAGTATACTAGCCCCTGGGGAGGGGCAGGAAGCGGAAGCTGGACGAGGGAAGTGCGGGGAGCCCTGAGACCCCAGCTGCTGCACCCAAACTACTGCGGGGAGATGTGGCTAGGTGAGGGCTGGGGACTGCACAGTAACCCCTCATGGGTCACATGCAGCTTCTTGGCTGCCAGTTGGACAGGTGTGGCAATTATTTGGGCCTGTGGGCCACATAGGGAGTTTTGCTAAGCTCTCATGGGCCAGGTCAGCAGCACCTTTCACCCCACATGTGCAAAGGCCCACAAAAACTCCCTATGTGGCCCGTAGGAAGGCAGAGAGCAGTGTTCAGGAGTAGGACAGGTGGGTGAGGCTGGATCGTGGTGCGGGGTCATGGGACAGTGACAGTGCAGGGCTGGAGCAGGCCTCAATCTGCTGCCTGCACACCCTGTGACGGGTGCAGATTCCACAGGCAGGGGCCTGCTTTGGGCTCTGGCCCCATGCTGTCACCACTGGTACCTGTGTAGCATGTGGCCCAAGAGGCCCTTAGCTAAAGCTGGTGTGGTTGGTCTATGGGCTGTGTGGCCCCTTCTTTTGCGACAGCGGGTACGGGGCAGAAGAGCTGGGATGCCTGGGCAGAGGCCCCAGGTCCAATGAAGATGGTGGTCAGAAAGAGCCATCCCCACCAGGGGGGGAAATGGAGGTCAGCAACCAGATCGGCCCAGGTCTGCTGGGAAATGGAGGTCAGCAGCCATGTTGGCCCAGGTGTGCTGTGTGCCCGGGGCAGAGAAACTGGCAGCATGTGCCATGGCCCAGGTTGCTTCTGCGCCTGGGCTGGGCTGGGCAGGACTGAGGGACCTGCTGCAGGCTGGACAAAATCCCTTGTTGGGCTGAATCTGGCTCACGGCCTGTATTTTTCCCACCCCTGGTCTATATGGTGTCACACTGCTCAATCTTTTACCATTCAGCTTGCAAACAAGGTCCCGATCACAGATGGGCTCTAGTCTTGCCTTTCTGAACAAAGACTGAACGATCCTGGAGTTTTTTGCAACATAATGGCTAGTACACTCATGAAATCACCAGTCACTAGGTTTAGGTTTTTGCAGTTCAGAGGCTGTTCTGATTTGTGCCAGTGGATATACTGTTCACTAGCAGACAGCAATTATTGATCCTTTTCTTTGGCTCCAGCCCCAGGCATATCTTAGCAGTATTTGGGACCAGCCCCAAATACAGTATGCTTACTAGCTTCTTTACCATTTGCCAAAATAAATTTCATAGGACGTACCAAAACTCAGGCTGGGAGTCACAAGCAGGGTAAGAGAATAAACCTGAAGGAAAATATGCTTTCTTTGCTAAAAAAAAAGGCCATAAAATGTATGCTTGTTTCAATGTAGGCAAGCTGGAGAATAAAGGATATACCAGTAGCTGCCATTGGATCTCTTGTCCACAAACTGTTTACTTTACTCCTTGATAAATATAATCTTTGAATCACAGACCCTTATTCTTCATCTTTGTCTAGTTCTCTCTCTCCCTTACCTGGTTTTCCTTCCCACCTCCCTTAGACCAAAAACAAATGTTTTTGTAGTGGAGTTACATTGTACAAAATATGTGAGGGGCAGGGATTATTTGGCTTTTTTATGACTTTTTTGTTGGCCAAGCATTTTGCTAGGTATATCCCTTCATGGGCTCTGGGAGAGACAGGGAAGCTGACACACAGAAAACCGCTCAGACAAACACTCACAATGTAAACACCTCTTTGCTACTTGCCTGGCCGGTTCCCTCCCTGCAAGAGGTTCACCACTTTTATGAATTCTATTTAATTGCTCTTTTGAAAGCTCCTGCTGATGTTAGAGAATAGAGTTACAGACAAATTTTAAGATGACAAAAAATGCACATAAAGATCACTAGATATGTATTTTAGTGGCAAGAGAAAGAGGGGCAAGCCACATTTTTGGGCTCCTTTTTTCTCCATCTTGATTACATGTGGCAGTAAAAAGTACTAGCATCAAAGTCATAGTTACAACCACTATAGTAGGTATTTTAAAGGCAAGTGCAAAGTCAGACAATGAGATGAAGAATAGAGGACAGGGGTTTGGGGAGATTTTGAAAAGAAATGAATCATGATAGACAGCAAACCGAACATAAGTTCTTATCATGACAGCATTGTTTAGAAAGCTAACATGAATCTTGGATATGTAATAAGGGGACTATAACTGGAGCAGGGAAGTTTAAACTCTTTATGCAGCTTGGGTGATATTATTGTGGAGAGAGACAGTTAGATGTGTTAGATTGAAGTCAGGCTGGAATTGCACCTTATCAGTCAACTAAATTAGAAATGCATAAGCTTTGCAGAATATCATGAAGTTATTGTTTATGAAAGCTTATGCATCTCCAATTTATCCTGCCTTTTGACTAAGATCATTGAAATGTGGATAGTGCAATGTCACAAAAAACAAACATACAATTAATTAATTAAAAATAAAAAGGTCCAGTGACAATTTTTAGGGGCCTAGAAAATGTTACAGAGAGATTTAAACCTTAATTTAGCACATTTAACAATTAGAACATTTTAAATCACATGTGGTACTTAGCTAGCTGTACTCATTATGAAGTGCATCTATACTTTGCTTTCTACCTGCTTTTCTAATAGCAATTAGATTTTGTTTAGCAGAAAAAAAGCAAACAAAACCCCCAAACCATAAGCTAATTGCTGGGAGCTTAATCTTCATATAGTTAGGATAGAAACAATCTATTCATTTTCTGGAACAGTTTACAAAGGGTTGTAGTGGTTTCTACAATGATGAAAGCAAAATCAAATCTTTTACATTGCACCCTTTGCTTGAACCATTTTTCCTCCACACCAGAGCCCAAAATAAAAGAATAAGCGCAGAGAAATTTTAAAATTGCAAATACTTTATCTGCCACCAGGTGTGTGAGTTGGGAGGGGGGGGAGGGGTGCTTTAAAAGAATGGTGTACATGACAAACCTAGTCCCTAAAGCAGTTCCTAAAATCCAAATGACTTGTTGTGACAAACCTAGAGAAACAGAAGCAATTCAAAGAGCAGACACCTCCCTCCCAAGGCCCCAAAGGTTCTCAGTTAGGACACAAATCCCACTGACAAGGGTGGAAGGGGTTGTACCGATGGTCTAAATAAAGTTCTATAAGGAACATTCCAGTTTTAATGAGGCTCAAGGGACAGATCCTCCGGCTCAGTCTGCAGAGAGAGCAGTGGCAGGCGGCAGGAAGTTACAATTCACATCAGATCCGCACTCTGGGAGGATGAGCAACCCTCCTCCGAGCTGGAGCAGCGGATGGGGACGGCTTTCCTGGGGAAGCAGGAATGTCCTCCCCCCCAATACCACAGCCAAAGACTGCCCACGTAGACTCAATTTCTCCCCACGAGGCTACTCACCTCCCCGGCTCATGGCGGGAGCGGAGACGGAGAGCGATGCATGGGGGGGAGGCCGAGCGCGCTGGGGAAGATCAGGGAGACGATCAGAAGTTAAAGGCCGGGCGAGGGCCCGCTGCACACGGGCCCGGGCCCGGGCCCGGGCGAGCCACTGGCCCCAGGGGAGGCAGGCACGGCCCCCCCGCTGCGGCAGGCTGCGGCCACCGTGGCTCAGAGGCACTGTAGGTCACTCCCTCGGGCGTGCCAGCGGCGACCACGATCCCGCAGCCTGAGGCAAAGCGAGCGACCCCGCGAGCTGTCACGGAGGCGGCCCGGGCAAGCGGCCGCGTCTCTTCGGGGCGGACGCGTGGAAAGGGCTGAGGGCCCGGGCTGACGGTGCCAGGACAGGGGAAGGGAACATGGCCGATCCCTGGCCAGCGACAACTGCCGCCGGTTTGAAAAACCCGCCCAAAGCTGGGATTTAAGAGCGCTGCAGCTCGTTTCCTCTAGGGGCAGCGGCGCTGCGAGCAGCCTCGCCCAGTCCCCGCGCGGCGCCTCCCTCCTCTCGCTTCCCCGAATTCCTCTCCCCGCGGCCCGCGCAGAGCCCGGGCAGCGCCGAGCACCCCACCTGGCCCCAGCAGCATCACCCCTGTCCTCTCATCGCCACTCCGTGCCGTTTGCCTCCACACACCTCGTGCTTCAGGCCCTAAGCACCGTCCTCCCCCCGCCCGGCGCCCCCAAGCCCAGCCCAGTCTCACGCCTCATCCCCGCGCCCGGCCCGGTCTCGGCAGGGCGGATTCCCCGAAGACCCCCAAGAGCCGCAGAACGAAGGAGGGGTACAGACACCTGTCTCCTTTGTACTGCTCCGGTCCCGCCCACTCCAGGCACCCGCCGAAAGGGAAACAAAAGTGCTAATTTACAACCACTGCCAAACACAGGTCAGGCGCCGAAACCGGGTGATTTTTAGGCTGGAACAAAGCGGTATAGGGCGAGCCTTCCTAATTTTTTTTCACGTGAGGAAAACAAAACACGCCAGGAATTAATGAAGGGACGCAAAAGCCCACTTACTTGGGGACGTGATTATTACAAAGTGAACAGCTCTTTTCTGATCATGTGGGTGGCTCTGAAAAGAGCCTTTGGGGTGTGTTTTTCGCAGTTTAGACCTCTCGTTTCTCAGAGACCGTTTTTACTTGCTCTTGGCCTTGTGGCTCTCGGTCTTCTTGGGCAGCAGCACGGCCTGGATGTTGGGCAGGACGCCGCCCTGCGCGATCGTCACTTTGCCCAGTAGCTTGTTGAGCTCCTCGTCGTTGCGGATGGCCAGCTGCAGGTGGCGGGGGATGATGCGCGTCTTCTTGTTGTCCCGCGCCGCGTTGCCCGCCAGCTCCAGGATCTCGGCCGTCAGGTACTCCAGCACGGCCGCCATATAGACCGGAGCTCCGGCTCCGACCCGCTCGGCATAATTACCTTTCCGTAGCAACCGATGCACCCGGCCTACAGGAAACTGCAGCCCGGCCCGCGAGGACCGCGACTTGGCCTTGGCCCGCACTTTGCCTCCCTGCTTTCCCCGGCCTGACATAACCGCAGATTTCCTACCACAACCTTCTTCCTCTAAAACAAGACTAAATAATCGTGCTGACGTAACTATTCTTCCCTTTTTATCCCTTCTCCGGGAGGGCCTGCTGTTTCGTGATTGGCTAAAAACTATCCCTGTGTTATCAACCAATGGGACGGCGGATCTTACTTTGGCCAATCAGAGGGTAGAAGCGCCACAAGGACGATCCAATAGAGAGACACATTCTAGAGTCCTCTAATTTGCATAAGCACCCTATAAATAAAGGGCACAGCGGCCATTTTAGCGGTATTGTTGGTATTGATCTGTGGGAAGTAATCTGTTAAGATGCCGGAACCCGCCAAATCTGCTCCCGCGCCCAAAAAGGGTTCTAAGAAAGCGGTCACCAAAACGCAGAAGAAGGGCGACAAGAAGCGTAAAAAGAGCAGGAAAGAGAGTTACTCTATCTACGTGTACAAGGTGCTGAAGCAGGTGCACCCGGACACCGGCATCTCGTCCAAGGCCATGGGCATCATGAACTCTTTCGTCAACGACATCTTTGAGCGCATCGCCGGCGAGGCATCCCGCCTGGCGCACTACAACAAGCGCTCGACCATCACGTCCCGGGAGATCCAGACTGCCGTGCGCCTGCTGCTGCCCGGGGAG